TTGCTGTCTGGAGTGTCTTCAAACTGCTCCAGATGCTGAGGGATCTGCACAGTGTGATTCTTGCTGCATGGCTGCGGGATCTGGAGAGCAAACTGCAGGGAATCCCTCCCTGATCTGTCTTGCTGCTCATGGACTCCAACCGCTGGATCGCCCAGGAGGCTTTGATGTGCACATGCTGAGATCCTGTGGGAGTGCTCTGGGAGCTCTCACCTCACTGGGCACTGTTTGTAGGAAAGAGGTAAAATCTTCCCCTGGACCAGGATGTCACTGGAGATCAAACAGAGGAGCTTTGTTTGGCATTTATCTCTCTTGATGTCATGGAGGTGAATAAGGTGGAGACTTCATGGGCTTTGGCCGGAGCATCCTTGTCCTGTGCAGGTACACCAAGACAAGCTCCTGAAGCTGCTGCTGTTCTTTGGTCCAGATCTCCATGAAATCCTGATAACAGGCTGCAAGGCTGATACTGGCATCAGAGAACAGGGAGCATGGCTCGGTGATGGCTAGTGTCCTTGTGCAGTCATGACCCACTCAAACAACACAACACTTGTGCCTCATCCTGCGCTGGAATCCTGTTGGGATGAACAAGTGCAACATCAACAGCTGACATTTAACACTGGGCCAAAAACCTGCTCCTATTTCTTGGAGCCCTCCTCACATCCCAGTCCACAGGAGCAGAGCTCTTCATTCCACGTCAGAAGTGGGTGCAGGAGGGAAGGTTTTGCAGTGTTGCCAGAACCAGTGGGTGATCCATGGATTTCTGCCAGCTGTGAGTGAATTATCAGCCAATTAAACTGATGGGATGCATTGGGCTGCAGTGCTAGCAGGAGGGAATGGACAGCAGCACAGGCTGGGTGGGGGTGCTGGGGTGAGGGCTGCTGGTGTGTGTGGCAACCACTGGAATTGCTGGTGCAGGTGGGGGTCGGGGACTCTGGAGCTTATGACCAGAGAAATGTTATCAGGAAGGAGAGAGAAGCGGGAGTGGGAAATGCAGCACCCCAAACCAGTTGGCCAGAGGGGCACCCTGGGATGGATGGGAGCAGGGATGCAGGGAGCTGCTGCTGCAGGGAGGGAAGTGCTGGCCAGGTGGTTGTGCTGGACCAGGGGTGCTGGTGGGGCGCTGCATCACCCCAGCTTGGGTCCACACCTGCACATTGATAACTGAGACTTGTGCAGAGTTCACACTTTGGGAGTAATCACCTTTGTGGGATGAGGGGGAGGAAAGCCCTATCTAAAACTAGTTGTGCAAGCAGCAAGGGCAGAGGCGATTAGGGCACCCAGCAGCATGTGGGGGGCCCTTCCCAACCCTGGAACCTGGCAGATGTTCCAGAGAAAGGGGATGTTGTGATGGAGTGATATCCCATCAGCAAAGGCAGGGATGGAGGTGAAATTCCCAAAAAGAATAAGGTGCTGTGCAAATGGAGGAATTAAAGAGTGCAAATGGCCAGTGTCTGGTGGATTCCAACAGCTCTTCCAGAGGAGTTTAAGGATGAAGCAGTTGAAATGCCAGCAAACAGGGATCTGTCATTAAAGGGATCTTCTGCACAAGAATGCAGCCTCTCAGCTCTGTCCTTCATTTAAGAGGTGCGGGAAGAGCAGTGGGAATTAAGGAGCACCTTTGCTTTAGCACCAAACAAATTAGCTGAGAATATAATTAAAGCTGGTGTGGAAATGCTGGTCCAGTGTGATAGATTAGGGACCAACACCGACTTTTATAAGGGAAATCGAGTTTAATGGGATGGGGGGGCGGGTGGTATTTTTTTTCCAATATGGTGATAAGGTGATTGGGGAGAGCAGCTGGGAGATGGATCATTGGGATTTACTGAAAACTTGGGACAAATTTGTGAGATTATTATGGAAAGTGTGAAGGCAGGAGCGGTGGGAGGAAATGCCAAATTCTGTTTGGTGTGTTCAGGTGTGCAGGGATGTGGTGTTAAATATGCACAGCTGATGCAAATTAAGCACAGAAAAATTAGGTAACGCTGGGCCTGGACTTGGCTGGAGAAGTCTGATGGTCCCTCCTCTCCCTGGGGTGCCTTTGTTAGGTTGGAAGTTGTTGCTAATTACGCGGCTGGGGGCTCAGTTCCCTCGTAGGACCCCGTTTCTCCTGAGACAGGCCTGTCCCAAGGGCAGATTTAGGGCAGGTGGTTCGGAAGGCTGATGCTGGTAGGAGTGTGGTGTCATCGACAGGGCTGGGGGAGCTGAGGGGGAGACCCTCTCCCCCTCAAATCAAGGAGTGGGTCCCTGCAGCCAGAGGGGCTGCACTGGGCAGTCTGGGCTCCTTGGAGACGGGACGTGGCTGCTGGACAGGGTGTTCTATCCTCCCCTCAACAACAATCCAATTCTGAGCTAATTTTCTCGAGGACAACAAAAAGCGCACAGACAACTGCTGCCCAGATTTTGTATCCTGCTGTCGTGGAGCCAATTAAGGAAAGGGTTGCCATATTTTATTATTTTTTTCTTTACTGCACGGGTGGAGCAGCATAGCTCTTCTAAAGCCTCATTCTTGGAAGGGGCTGAGCAATTCGGGGCTGAGCAATTCAGGCCAGAGCTTTTCTAGGGGGAAAGAAAAACAGGAAAAAAAACGGGAGAAAAAATGGTTTGGAAATAAGAAAATGAATATATAATCACACTTGGTGTGGAAAATATCAACCTGCAGAGTCATCACTTGTCTGAGCAGGTCCAGATATCCTGACGTGGGGCTCTGAAGGCTGGCCAAGCTCTGTCCAGGGTTGATGCTGGGAGAGACCAGGGGGAATTTGGGGTGGGCTTGGAAAATGTGGGTAAAAATGAGGTTGGTGCTGGAGAAAATGTGAATTTTGGGCTGGCTGCTTGTGGCTTCAGGTGATGTATACCAGGATGACCCCCTAAGTATGGATGGGGTGATGTAAGCAGCATCTCCTCCTTCTATGTCTCTCCTTCCTTCTTGCCTTGGTGCCAAATCTATGCGTCACTCCTGCCGAACCTCTGAGCTCAAGGCAGCAATGAAGCACATTTGGCTTTGATCTTGTGAAAATAATAATTTGGGAAAAGATGTGGGGGGACCTTTGTATCTGACAACCCTTGGCATAACTTACCAAGGGTATCTCGTGCACCCCTGGGTCTTGCCACACTCCTGGTGCTCCAGGTTGGCATGTGAGTTTCAGAGTCCACCTGGGCTGGAAGTAAAAGCACCAGTCACTGTGTCCCAAAGGACCTTGCTCTGCACCAGCTCTGCAGCACCCACAGCTTTGCTCGCCCTGGGGTTTGCTGCCTTCCTCTATTCTTTCTGTCCTGTTGGTCATTGATGATTATTATTAATGTTCTCTTTTTCACTTGGGTTTTGGCAAAGCTCAAATCTATGTAGAAAATGTTTGGTTTTACGTACCTTGTCATTAACCTGCTGCTGTTGCTGCTCACCATTGTTGCAGCCCAGCATGGCCAGGGCTGCTGACCCCCGGGCACAAGTGACATGGGGCTGTCTGTAAACAGTGTTAAAATTTTATAACTTTTATATTTAGGGAGTTAATGACTCTAAAGAAAGTAGATTTTAATCTAATCAGCTATTCCTTGTGCCGCGTCAGTCCTGGACATCAAAGAGAACATCAAAGTGAGAGGCATGAAAGGCTCTGACAGCAGCAGGGCTGCTTCTCCAGGTGCGGCACCTTGGAGCGGGGATTCTCTGCCTCCTCTGGGGGGGCTCCCACACCTCTAAGGGGGCTCCTGCACCTCTGGATGGGCTCCTGTAGCTGCTCCCATACTGCCTCTGGGCAGGCACCTGTGCCTCCTCCCACAGCTCTGAGTAGGCTCCTGCTCCTGACCCAACCTAGGGTCTGAGTCTCTTCTTGGATGTCTCACAGGTAAAAACTTTTGTTCCAGCAAGGAAAACAAGATTAATGTAAAAATGTCTCTTGGTAACAAAGCCAAAGGGCTTCAGATGGCAGCAGAGCCAGATGCGAAGCTGGGTGTTGGATGTGGAAGCTCATGGGAGCATGTAGTGTCACTTTGTGGGATTGGCCCGGCAATGGGTGGCTCTGGCAAGGCATTAGGGAGCCTCTCACACCAATCCTGATTTTTAAATTCTTTTCCCAATCTTGGTCAGGCTCTGAAACAAATCCTGTTCTTGTCCTTTTTTTTTCTTTTGTGTTTGTTGGCTGGAGGGAATCCATGAATGACGTGGGGAGGTGAAAGGGGCTGTGCCCCCAAGGGTGTGCAGTGGGATGCTCGGCTCCTAGGGAAGGCAGCTGCTGTGTCCGGAGCATTTGGACAGTGAGGGAGCAGTGTGTGAGGTTTTACAGCTCAAGTGCCCAAGGGCAGTGCCGGGAGGTGCCCTGCAGCGCTGGTGATGGGAGTGTCCCGGCTGTGCACTGGGACCCACCTCAGCCTGCCAAGCTCAGGGCGCGCGGGAGCCTGGTGGATCCAGGGACGGTCATGGCAGAGCGTGAGCGGCCGGGCAGGCAGCCAGGAGAGTTTCCTCCCCGCCGTTTCCCATGGTCGGGCTCTGAGGCTTGAGAAACACTCCGGGGGCCGCGGAGAGGAAGCTTCTGGGAGCCCTTGTGCTCCTCTGCTTGTTTGGATGAAGCTACTTTTCCACATTGTCTCTTGGGAAAAAGAAAAATAATTTTAAAGAAAGCGTGTATATATGTATGTGTGAGGCTGCGTTCAGGCAGCAAAAGCTGCTGCAGCATGAATGTATTGAAATATCCAGTGGATTAATTTTCTAAGCCCCTTGAGCTGCTGCAGGGAAGAGCTCAAGGATTCCTCCAGGCACTTGCAAATCCCATTTCAGGCAATTGGGAAGAGATGGCGTGATGGTATGGGTGCGATGGAATGGATGATTGAAGCTCCTGGTGCTCTGCAAACCAGAGCTGGGAGCGGCAGGTTGAGTTGCCTGCTAGGAGCTTGTTTCCAGCCTCGTGCAGGGTAAGGGAGCTAAAAATACAGCTTGTTTGCCTCCAGCTGGAGTTGATTTGGGCATCCCTGGCTGTTGTGGAGTGCAGCAGAGGACAACCAGTGGTGGAAGTTTGCCGACTGTAATTTCGCTGCTCTGCCCTCCCCGCCTTGCTCTAAAAAGCAGTGGCTGGGAGAAGCAGGATGGGGTGTTAGAGCTCCCGATCTGCTCTGCTTAGAGTTTCCAGCACGTGATTCACCTTTTCCCCTTTACCAGAAGCAGGCAGGCCTGGAGCTGCTAGGGGAGGATGTTCAGAGGTTTATCTCTGCTGTGCAGTGCAGCCCTTCTGCATGGAATGCCAGCACTGCCCCACTGCTGTCCTGGGCAGTGCTCACCAACACAAGCATGAAATCATGTGGTTTGTCCTGGTTTTGTCTCCAGCCTTGCAATCCAAGTCTGGGTGTTGGACCTTCTTTCCTGCATGGGCTGGAAGGTGACAGAGGAGCTGCTGCTGCCCCTCTGCCATCCCCTCTGTACAGCTCCTGTCCAACAGCATCTCCAGGCACTGCTCTGTGCCAGTGACTCGGCTCAGGGGGACCATGGAGCAGATGCCTCAGTGAGAGGCTTCAGCTACACTGGTGCACTCACAGGAGCTTGACTGGGCTGTAGTGACAGCATTAGGGTGTGAAGAGTGTCAAGGTGTTGCTGGGGTGACATGTCTGACCCCC